TTTTTTTTTTTTTTTTTTTTTTTTTTTTTTTTTTTTTTTTTTTTTTTTTTTTTTTTTTTTATACACTGCAAGAATACAGACGAACCGACAATCGATTCAATCAACTGTAACGTTTATACGCGCGCTGATCGCATATAATAATATATAATGCATAAGCATATATTAATATAATTATATCTTACGTTCTTTGGCACAAAGCTGATGAGAAAACATCGCCCCCCCCCTCCCCATCTCTTAACCGTTGAATTAGCTAAAAACGCGCTTAAATTAAATAAAGACCATCACTTATTTACACTCGCGAACTGCAATTGATTACACGTGAGGTATATTGCCGAAAGCCCTCAAGAAAGAGGGAAGCACATTGCACAGCGACAAAACGAAAATAATAGCGAACCAAACACCGCAACGTCAAGTTACACAATGTGTACCATAGGTGACGTAAATGCAACCCCCACGACTCTAGGAGTCGGTCATCAGTCCGGGCTCGAGATCCATGTTCATTTGGTTCTCCTGGTGGTACTGCTGTTGTAGCTCGACGGGCGCACCCTTGCCGTCGTCAGCTAGCTCGTTGACCAGTTGCGCCTGGCCCAGGCTGGCCGAGGCAGTCGCGCCGTTGAACTCGGCCACGTCGTCGGGCAGACGTTCCTTCCAGTGCCGGTAGAGGTAGCGCGTGAACTTGCGCAACTGCCGGAACTTGCAAAAGGTCGCCCCCTCGACGGACTCGTGCTGCTGCGTCTGGATGAGGAAGCCCTTCTCCTTGAAGGTCTGCTCCAGCTTCTCGCGCTGGATGCTCTTGCGGGTCTTGCGCGTCTTGCGCCCCCGAGCGTCCTCCAGCTGCTGTTGCCCCGTCGCCAAGGACGCGGGCGACGTTACCGACGTCACTGGTGGCCTTTGCTGCTGGAGGGCCTCGCGGGGAAAGAACTCGTAGCCGCGCATGCTCTTGTCCCCGGTGCCGCTGTAGTAGCGAAAGTTACCCCCCGCGTCGACGGACAGGCTCTTCTTCTCCTGCAGACTCGGCCTCGCGCCCCCCGTGAACTTGAACTTGCATATGCTAACCTCCGTGGCGGGGGTATTGGCGCCACTGCTGTTCTCCGCGGGCACCGGCGGTATGAAGATCGCCGAGCGCTTGCGTTTGGACTGGACCTGGTGGTGCCTCGGCTCACTGGTCGTCGTAGGACTGCCACGTCTCGTCGGCTCCGCGCTTATACTGTTGTTGCTGCTGCTACCGGTGCTGCTGCTAGCCGTAGGACTCGACGGAGGAGCCACTGTCGCCTCCAGCAGGGACGACAGGGGCTTGGGAACGAGGCGCTGCTGCTGCTGCTCGGCTTGGACCAGCCTCTGCAGGCAGAGGAGCTGGTCGGGCCAGTAGGACAGTGGTCCGGGTACATCCGTCCCGTTGCTCTCCTCGTGGACGGCCGACCTGTTGCTGCAGCCGTTGCCGCACCGCTGCTGGACCGGCTCCGCGTCCTCGGCGTCGCTCGAGCCCTCGCTGCTACCCGTCAGCCTGAGGTCGCGCACGCACAGGTTCAACGGGCCGTCCTGCTCCCTGGCCGACGCTTCCAGCGCCCTGCGCTCTTGGGTCAGCCGGCGCTCCAGGAGGCTGCTTATCCTGTTTTGGATGTCGCTCCGCTGGAAGCCCAACTGCTGCTGGTGCGCGTCGTGGGAGTGCAGCACCGGGGCCGGGGCTACCGGTGGCTTGGCCTCTTGAAGACCGGCCGGCGTGCCGGGCAGTATGGTGCCGTAGTTTTTGTATATCAGGTGGCAGATGTCGGCCTTTTTGGGCTTCCTGCCGCGGCGGGGCTTGCTGTTGTCGAGGGTTATCTCGCCCATGTAGGGCAGGTCCGAGTACTGCATCGGCGGCCGCGCGCTCGTCTGCTCGTTGTTGAGGGGCGACTGTGGCGGTTGCGGGGAATTGTAGGTTGGGAAGGACGAGTGGGTCGACCGGATGACGGAACGCCTGGAGGCGGCCGAGGAGAGCTCGGCCTGCTGTTGCTGCATAAACGTGAAACGCTGGATCCAGTTTTGAACGTCGGGACTGAAGCCAGTCGGGGTCGGTGGTAGCTGCCGTTGCTGCGGGTGTCTACCAAAGGGCGGCTGCGCCTCGACGGGGCTCGAGAGTTGCGCGGCCTCCTGCGCCAGGGCGGCCTCGTAGTGGTCCAGATACTCCGGGGGCAGAGCTTGGTGGTGGAACTTGAGCTTCCAGCGCGACTTTCGACGACCCCGGCTGAAAACGCGGGGTTTATTGTTTCCGTGAGAGGCACGCGTAATCGTATATATTTACCTCGGCTGTTTTTTGCAAGGGAGCACCGAGTTCGGCGATACTTGTGCCCCGGGCAGCTCGAACTTGGGGCTGATGTGCTCACCACCGGGTGGAGGCCTCTTGCAGGCCGGGGCCATTGATGGGTCCAAGTTGCCGTCTGCAAGGGACTGTCCGTCCTCAATTTCCATTTGCGGACTATTAGAAACTCAAGTCTTAATCTCTCTTGGGCTAATAGAGCTATACTTGCTTGTTGGTGGGTCTCTATACCTATAGTGCATTTGTCTTGCGAGCGAAATGAATATATAGGCTCACCTGTTCAGTCCAGCGTTGGGTTGTCCTCGAGCTTTGTCCTCCTCTTCGGCGGGCTCCTGCTTGACCGCCATACTCGGCACTTGCACCGGATACGGTGGTGGTGCGTCCTGCGGCTGGTTCAAGTGGAGGTGGTTCGTCAACTTGACCGGTTGCTCCTCGAGCGCGGCGATTCTACACTCGGGTGCGGGGGAATGGTCATCTAGCAGCATTGATTGCGTGCCAGCCACGATGTCCTCGCTTTGCATAATGCCCCCTGTAATAGATGGCCGGTATATATGTATATTTTTCGTTACGATTTTAGGTATTTGCACGATTTTATGTCTGGATGTTGCTGGCTACTTTGCCGGAAATTTTTTAGAAGCGAGTTAAAAGTATGGGTAATATTTGCCGTGTGTACCTGTTTTGAAAATTGTTGTGACGCTTGATAGAGACGTGTGTGGCAACAGGGGTTTGGTTTTTAATTGGTGAAATACCGAAAAACTGTATCTTTTAAATTATGCTTTGAAGGCAAACATAACGAAAAATAGTATGCGCAGCTTATTCTCTCGACGGTACAAGTGTTACACTTCAATATCAAACGATTACTAGTACCGATTTTATCGCGAATCCCAATAATCGCATACAATCATCTTATATTTTATTTTCTTAAGGTGTACAACTGTGACACTCGCAACCTTGAAGTAAAATATTAATTTTTTACTGAAATGGGTGAACGAAAAAAATCGTTTTTTCCTTATTTTAAAAATGTTTTTCGCAACTTAGACCATTGAAATTACATCACAAACAAAAGTGTGACGTATAAAAACTTTTTATTTTTATTTCACGGAACGAAAGCCGAAATACACCGAGCAGTAAATGTAGTAGTAAAAAAAACAAACTAAATTTTTAAAAATACTTTTAAAGCTTTTTATTTCAAAACGTAAAAATTGTCTTTTAAGAACACCTATTCGAAAGTAAAAATAAAAAAAAATTTACATTGTCGCGTTCCACAGCTTCTTTTTTTTTCAGCTGCCAAATGCAAACTTGAGACCTCAAACAACATTGAGTTGAAACGAAAACAGAGAGCTCCAATCAAAAAAAAAATTTTTCTCTTCAAAATGAACGAGTTACACACGCGTGCAGGAAAATCAACTCGAACTCGGCAGTATGGTATATATACACACGCGTACATTGAGTATACGGGATGCACCGCTCCGGTGCGCATCCGCAAATACACCTTAATAATTGTGCGGGTGCGAGAGAGAGTGGCGCGTGTGTAAGTAAACATATTTATGTATACACACACACACGCAAATAATGTATGATTGAAGCGAACAGCCGAGCAAAAGCTTGTCGGCGTTATATATAATATATATATATAACAAATTGATGCAGCAACATCAGCCAAGGAAGAGGAGCAAAGGTGGAGGTAAGGGGAGGCAGCGAAGAGCGCTCTCGTAACTACAATTTATTTTTTAGCTATTTTTAGCCCGAGGAGTTGGCGTAGCGCCACTATTTTTGGTTCTCTCTCAGATTTCTCACTCCGTATTTGGGATTACGCCACCCGGCGAATTGCCCCGCCGAATACGAGAACCGGAGTTTACGTATATATATATATATATATACGTGCATGGAGGCTTGAAACACTTTGGAAATAACGCTGTTGCCAATATACATCTGTATGATGTTATATATATATATATATATTATTCAAAGAAACCAACCATAGTATACAATACTGGCGGTGCAACACACTCTATTTCCAATTAACGTTGATAAAATCTAAGTACGAGTGTTTTCAGGGACACGCGCACACCGTAGGCAGTCAAGCGCAAACGGGCCGGCTAATCCTCGTGTGCCAAGATTAAATAAATTAGCCAACCAAAGGAGTGAGGGAACAAAAAAAAAAAAAAAAAAAAAAATTCGTACAGTATCATTTAGATAACATACAAGTATATGGTATATTATATGTGTAGGGAAGCGCTGGCGAGCTCACCTGTGACGGGAAATTGGCTTTCCGGTAGCATGAATTCCACGTGTAATTAAGATGAGCCGTGACTTATGAAACAACGCAACCGCAGCGCGATGATTGTCGTGCACGCGAGCAGAGGCCGCACCTCTTTTGCGGGCACTGTGGCGCGGGATCGGCGCGAAGTAGAGGATCCGTCGGTGCAGCTGGACGCATCTGTCGATCGGCGAGCGAGTGGAGCGAGTCGCATATTGCATACACCAAAGGTTTTGGTTGAATTGGTCGGAGGATGACGTAGCCCGTGGAATGTCAGTGGCAGGCGAGAGTCGCGTTATCGGTAAAAATCGGCGAGAGATGCGACGGCGCGCCGGGTATACTGCGGAGCGCTACGAGCCAAGCCGTTTGAAGCGGAGGAGTGTGTGCACTGTATCAGAGGAGGTGGCGACCAGCGGAACAAGGGGGGGGGGCGGAAAATAGCGGAGAAGGAGGCGAGAGATAAAAGGATCAGATTTGGGGGGGGGGAGTGATGCACACGTATACTGTGTGGACGAGAGGGCGCGAAACCGTGAGCGGAGATTTTGGAAAAACAGCTGCAGCAGTTATTCGCACCTCCGGGACTAAAACTACTGCTAACTAGTACTACCACTACGCTACTGAGTCGGCGAGCGATGCCAGAGGGACCATCATCGCAGCCCTCTCTCTCTCTAGTCGCGCGCGCTCGCTTATCCCTACCCGTTACTATATATATATTATATCCACAACGGCACGTCTATGTATATATAGGGACACCGATTTATTTTCGGCCGGCGAATTTGGAAGTTTTAAATAAATGGTGTGTGCTTATTATGAGCTTGAAAAGGAAGAGAGCAAGGAAGCTGTACACGCCCTCTTTACCACCCGATGGGGGCGAGCAACATTATACTTATACACGGTACGGTATAGGATAATAGCGCTCTTTACCGATCTCTCGGTTTCCTTATCGTACAGATAGTCATATACTTGCTCCACAGTTCGCTGACTTTATTTTCACATATGACTATACGCATAGGTTACAATACAACCGTATATTATTACGTGTACGAGTAGATACGTATATGCGTTAAAAATACCAACACGTGTATTTAGGTACAAAAAACCTTTTGTTTTTTTTTTTTTTGTATTTCTTTCCAACTGTGGCTCGGCAACGGCAATAAAATCAGCCGAGAGTTGACACTACCAAAAAGAGAAAGAGAGTGTATTGTACACCGTGTATGTCATGTGTTGGGTATATATTATACACACACGTATAGATGAATAATATATATATATATAGGTAACGTGTTGCGCGGGCGGATGTTCTCGATTTGGACGAATGTAAATCCGAGATTGGTCCATATCGGGAGCGAGCGGCCCGTTATAGCGAGGTGACGAGGAGACGCGAGCGCGGGGGTCCTCTTTCCCTCCCCCCTTCCTTTCCGTCATCGTCCGCCACCCCCGTCGCGTGTCTGTACCGTATTCGCGTGTTGCGTCTTGGGATAGCAGTCGCGAAAGTCACGTCAAGCCTAATATATAAATATATGTACAAATATAGATGCGCGCGAGCTGTGTATATACATATACGGACAAGAAGCTCTTCTCTACTCCGCCTGCACCGACACCTCTTCTGCAATGTGCGGTGTATCGTGTACTCGCTGCCTGCTAAACTATACTGTAGTTATACCGTATATGTTGTATTATTTACTGCCGTTCCTCTCTCTCTCGAGAGAGAGAGAGAGAATGTACGTATTTTTAAAACAACCTCGCGATTTTTGGACTACTCCCTCCTCGTCGTTCTTCTTGATTGCGCTCGAATGTGTCGTACTTTTATACTTTTCCTCGTGCACCTTCATACTGTTATTATTAATATCTCGACAGTGTGCATGGGTGTGTCGATAACCCAAAATTTTGTGCAATTTATTCCGGATACGGATGTTACATCAGTTCTTATAGATGATCCTTTGCATGTAACAATCATCGGAATTACGCTGTTGTTTCAATTTGCAAAATTACAATTTTTTGTCTTTTTACCAATAAATATACCGCAAAATATGAAAAAACAGCTAAATCATCGCGATTCGTGGTATTGAATTCCTCCCATCTCTATATACATTGCTCGAACAAATCGAATGGCGAGTCTTCGCCTTGACCGCGAGTTATCATCGTCATCCTCATCATCTTTTAAATTTTTCAGCCCTCAATATCTCTCTCTCTCTCGAGCCAACAAAATAGAAACATTTGCACTGCAAAGCGAGTAGTAAAGCACATAGTGCTTTGTTAAGCTTTAGCCTATAGATTTTGTTTTACGAGACCCCGCAGGTATATGATTATTCAGTCTCATGCGCACACTCGATCGGCGCTTAACCAGATTTTCTTCCACCTTGTTTGTTTGTTGATCGGCGAATCGAGACATCACTCGTGGAGCAAAAATAAAGGCTATATATACTATTCAACAAAGAAAAGATGATTGAGAATAATCTCGAGTTGATAACGAAAAAAGCTCGAACCCGCGCTTGTTCCCCTTCTCCAGCGGATCGTGTGTACCTGTACTCTCCACCCACAGCAGCTCTGAGCCCACCTTTCTAGCCACCTTGCGAATTGCCTGCGATCACCTCGAGCGACTCCTCCAATCGCGCTCTCATCTCCGATACCCTATATATATATATCCCCCCAAGTAACAGGTACCCCCCATTTCGCTTCGAGCTTTTCCAAAGACTTGTATCGAAGAGAGCCTGGTACACCACTCCACTCTTACGGAGCTGGTGGAAACGCGCGCGCCGCACGCGTAACAATTATTACATGCATCATCGTCCTCGTCGTTCTTATGGCGCGCGCTAGATTTTATTTTTGGGACGAAAATATGTGTACCTACAACAGAGAGGGAGCGCTCGCCGAATTGGGTTGGAACGAAAATATACCCGCGCTCGCTCGGGCCTCTACTTCTTTTTGAATTTCGTTTCCATATGTATATATTCCACCCTCTCTCCACGCCCTCGTTTGTTATTATCATTATCATTATTATTATTATTTTTGTTATTTCACGCGTAACGTGCACTTATGCAACGCCGCCTAGATTCCGCTGACTTTTTCGCCTCAAAGATTCTTTTTTTTTTGTGCATTTTGACGATCGCACGGGTCGTACCGTTAATGAAGTATATATAAAGTCGCGGGCAAAACGAGAAGAAAAGAAAAAAAGTCTTAACCGGACACGCGTTAATTGGAGGGAGGGAGGGGAAGTAACGAGAATGAATGGAGATCGTATACGATACGCGGAGGCGATTTCATTGATGGGTGGAAATCGCAGCGGCGCTTTTTTACCTATACACATCGGATTGTCCCTCCCCGAGGCTCTCTCTCTCTCTTCATTCATGAAAACGCGCAATCGTCACGTACTGCGTGTACTACAAGTAGGTACCTCGTATATCCTGCCGTTCTTTCTGCGGTACATGTATAAATATGCAGTCCTCGTCGCGTTTCTTAACTTCCTTTCACTTGCCGTGCGTGCGTGCATGCATGCGGGTATTTATTATATGCACCATGAGTTCTTCATACGAGCTTGTTTTCGATGATTTTCGTATCGCATGTTATATTATGCCCCCCTCCTATTTTTAATCTTTTTTTTTTTTTTTTTTTTCTTTTTCTTGCAAATGAGCATTCCTCGCGACAATAATATACATTGTGCACGGAGCGTACGTTTAATGAGAATCTATTGAATCGTCGCTCGTTAAATCGTCATCTCGATAATCTCGTGTGCACGAATAGCTATACATATGCACGTTGATCTAGATGTGCCTGCAACACATATATGTGACACACGAGTATAATATGCACGTATATATGGATACAATCAAAAAGAAATGTATTGGTGTTCATGTATATATATATATTCCAACTATACTTATATCGCAACGCATGTGTACATATAGAAGTGCGCGCGCGCGAGTGTAATTATATATACAGAGCCCGGAATAAGATTCGTAACGATAGCCTTTACGGCGATTAATCATTATAAGTGCAGGCCTCCGTATGAATATATTACAGGCCGCGCTCCGTGTGTAGTTGAAGATTTGTATGATCGTTGAGTCTTTTCTTTCTTTCCATCTCTCGAGCGACTCGCGCGACCGAACAAACGATCCCATTGAGCCCCCGACTCGTGCACACTCTGTTTATTATCTCCCGTTGCACGCCAACCGATGTCATTGTCCTGATAACGGCGATCATCGACTTTTACTCCCAATTAAATCGCCATCCATTCTCATATTTGTTTTTTTTTTTTTTTTGTTTTTTTTGTTTTTGTTCAATCGAAAAATAAAAGACGAGTCATTGGCGCCACGAGTGACATTTTTGGACATTTTTAACAAAACAGAGCCCCCCTCCGTATATATACGCGGTCGATAGAGTTGTCACGTTATTACGTCGTCGTTCGAGTACGTGCGTTGCAAGAAAAGCACACATGATACAGGAGGGGGAAACAAAGGCAAAACGAGTATACACACGCGGCAAAGGAATCGAGCGCAAAAGAAAGAAAAGAAAAGATAAAAGAGAGAGGACGTGTGTGCGTGTGCCCTCACCATCAGATCGGAATCCATCACGAGGCTGAGATCGGTGGAATCGGCGCCTGCGGGCTGCAAGTGCCGACGCTGACGCCGACAAAAACAGCGGCAACTAACAGTGCCGGCATCCGAGGTAATTGGTAAAAAACAACACTTGTGCGCGCTTATATGTGTGTGTATACGTATATAGTACGATATACCCTCGGCGCCTGTCATTCGCGCACAAGTCACGATTATCCTCTTCTTCCGCCGTATATATACATACATATATATTGCAAGAGTATAGCACATTCACAAGTATACAGTAATGAGAATGAAAAAAAAAAAAAAAACGATCGAGCTGTTACATATATAATCTTATGTGAAAAAATAAAAAAATCTGTGGAGGCAGATGTAGAGTCGGAGGAGCAAACGCGAGGAGAGCTTTTGGTTGACTGAGTCGAAGCGTCAATCGGAACAATATACACGAGAAGCCCTCGTCGGTCCGCACCGCCGCCGAAGCGAAAGAGCCACGCGAGAAAGAAAGAAAGAAAGAAAGATAGAAGGGAAGGGAAGAGAGTGTGTGTATGTATAGCATACGTATATATATATACGTTACGAGAGAAAGAGAGCTTTATATGGAAAGAAAGAAAGAGAATTCGAACGTGACGGAAGCGGGCTCGTGCTCCCCGCCCGATAAGCTCGCACAAGTATATATATATATATACATACACCACCATCCATCCGTCCTCCTCTCATTCACCGCTGCCCACTTCATTCATAACATGTATATAGTTTTAACTCTCCTTTTCTGTCCGGGGCCCTTCCGCCCTTCTTTCTTTTTTTCATTCTTCCTCCGCTTCCTCTTTTACTCCTCATTATTTCGTCTATATCCCCTTCGCCCTCCTCTCCTCCTCTTGGTCGCTTCGTTCGTGTTGTCCGCCAAAGAAATATCAAAACACACGATCCTCAGCACCGGCGGCTATATATATGAGCTTTTTGTGCCGATGGTGCGCTCTGTAAGTATCGCCCGCAGCCTCGCTTGCGTTGCTATTTATTACTCTACTTTTTCTCTCTCTCTCTCTCTTGGAAATAATCGGCTCTCGGGTGTGCTGTCCCGTTAGGATATCCGAATGGGCCGGCATCCACTTGGCTACCAGGAAGCAAAGGCGAGCAAGAAAGAGAGATCCTTAAAACAAACAGAAAAAATAAAAAAATCGGCGTCACGGGAGGTGGTCATGGGACCAAGGAGAAAAAAAATTTGCGAGCATTTTGACGCTATACGGCTCTCTCTCTCTCTCTCTCTCTCGATCGGTGGGAATTATCGGGTAGATCGGTATGGCCTCACGTTGCACAAAAGGTGGGATCGGCCGCCCGTAAGAGCGTCGATGGAAATTGAGGGGCTTGGGATCGAACTGCAGAACAAAAGAAAGGGATGGAAGGTATATATGTGTACATGCGCTGCATGACGCGAGGCTATATATACAAGAGGCCAAACTGATGGCAGAATACACACGTGCAACAAGTATTTGTAGCTCGCTCTCGCGGATATTTCGCGCTCATGCATGTACACATACGTACATGGAAGCAAAGAGGACAACTTGCGCTCGCCTACGCTCTTTTTCAACTTGTGTGTCAGATATTTGAGAATAAAAATATATGAGTACTAGATCCGCTGTTCTGTACATATATAGCGTACGACGCGAAACCAAAAGAGACATGCCATCATGTTAAAATTCTATACATATGCATAGGTATACAGAGTCCCGAAGGCAGCAGCTCATCTCATTTCGCCATATATGCACGCATAGCGGCAGCAACAGCCTGTCCAATAACTCGCCTCGCTGTCATACATATATACGCATACCCTGATATGCTGTCTTGTATATTTTTACTATTTCTCATTCTCTTGTCCACCTGTATATACATATATACATATGTATACGTATACTCCTCGTCAGACCGGCATAAAAATAATATATAACATCGCGAGCACGCGAGAGAGCTGTAACGTCTCATCTTGCGTCCAGTTTTGCATTTTTACCTTTTACCGATCTTCCGTTTTTATACCTTACCGATATTTTTTACGTACGCACGTAATTTGCTTAATTGTATCAATGAGCTTACAATCAACCAGTTACGATAGACTTACCGATCATCCGCCGGTTTTTCGTCCGGTGATCGAGTGAAAAAGCCATTTTCGCGTTTCTGCGGTCAATCAAGTCTCACGACGCGCGGTGTATACACATATTATACGCGAATGTATAATGAAACGTTTGAAATTGATTTAAGGTAAAAGGTAAAAAACGATCGCACCCAGCAGCGCACGGGCATTCCAAGCCCACGCAAATCTCGGTCTGTATAAGGTATATATCGGTATGTACCCATGCCTCCACCGCCGCTATATACCGATATCTCCCTCTCTGCTTCAAGTTTCTCTTTGTATGTATGCATGTACCTGTAACGAACGTTTTCCATATGCGAGCTCTCTCGCGCTCTCTTGTTATGTATAGTAGTTACACGTCTCTCGCGGAGTCTCGAATGTCTTCTTGTCCTTATATATACACGTATACATGCATACGTCTAAAAAGCTTAACAACCTCTCCTTTATACATGCATTGATATATACATATACATGTGCATAATACACGTACAACTACAACTTTTCTCTCTTGCTCACATTCTCCGTAAATTGCGCCTCTCTGGTTTATTAATTTTTAATGCTTGCTTTTTCTTATGTATGTACACCATACCGCACACAAACGTGCGCGCGCGATATCGGTTTTTTTTTTTTTTTTTTTTACTTGTCAATCAGTGAAATCGTTTTACCAATTAAAAACGTAACGGACGTGATGTATCGTTAATGATTTCACGATTCGCGTACAGTCGTATCATACATGTATACACAATCACAATGGTAACCGTATATATAAATAAGTCGGTTTTATTCTGACGATTTGATTGATATGTATATGTATGGGTTTGATTCAATTACGTTGGGATTGAAACGTCTGTGCACACGTAAATGCACATGCCAAAACCGGCGCGAGTATAGACATTTGAATGAGGCAATCGGCGATTTGCATCGACTCGCGGAGAGTCAAAGCACAACTCCCGATATGGATGTTATATCTTTTACGAGTTTATACAAGTAATTTCAATGCAAATTTAGAAGAAAAAAACTGTATGTAGGTGCAAAAAGAAAAATTTTATTCGATAGCTGCGAGGTATGAAATAATTGCAAACCAGAAGATTATGTAAAGGCCTGAATCATTTAGATTTGCCCGAGAGCTGTTTCCAAGACTTGAAAGATTAAAACTCGAATAGCTTGAAGAGAGTACAGTGTGGGCGAGAGTAAAGAGAATCACGTGTTTGTACAATTCACACGGAAACAATCTAAAAGTCTTATCGGATTTTTTTTTTTTTTTTTCCAACAAAATTTATTAAAAGAAAAAAATGTCACATCAAGTGATACCGCATAATTTTAAAATTATATTAAATATACATGTTTATAATTGTACAAATATACAATGTCCGTGACGAACAGAAATTTTATATTACAACTTGCTAGAAATACTAATAGCTTCAACTTATTTCGGCCGTGTCCAACAAAGTATTGAGATTCATTGGCATCCAGTTCGCGCCATTGTGACAGACAAACAATATGTCACTGTCTATATAAGCTTGAAGATTGCCGATTTTGTAAATTTGCTTTGCGTCGCGGTATCTATTGGCGAGGGGCATGAATAAAATGCCCCTTTCCTCGCATCTTCTCTGTACCAAGTCTTTGAAGCCCTGTGGCATTTGAGATGCCGTTCTGACGGCTTCCGCTAGTCTCTGTTGAAATAAAACATTTCGAAAAAAAAAGTTAACAACTGGTGTAGTGAAAAATGTTTGCCGTCGTATGGATTTTCGATAAACAAAGAGGCCTACCTCCATTCTTGGCTGTGACATTTGAGCCATCTGCGTTTGACTGCGTTCGAGGGTCGTTAAGTAAGATACCTGCTCCACCGAACCCGGCTGAAGTCCTCCTTGAGGAATTGAAACTGCTCTGTTCATCATTTCCAAGGCTTTTCTAAAATGCTCTGAAATAAAAACAATTGAAAGTGATGTTTAAAAACTGTTTACTCATCAGAATAGAAAAAAACCATTAGGGGGCATTACCTTTGATTGTTGGTTCTGCCAGTAATTTTTCATTCAACATGTTCTTCCATCCTGTGTACCAATGAGTTACTTCTTCGTAATCCGGGGTATGATTTAACCAGAGTCCCAAGACTTGCAACCATTTTGGGAAGAAAAATTTGTCCAACAATGCTGCCATTGTGTAATTGGGAATCATGTCTTTCCAATCGTAAACCCAATACCATTGATCTAGATGCTGTTGATGTGGATTTATGATGAATTCGGACAGGGCAATTTGCAACTTTGGTATGATATTTTTGACCAAGAAGGCATCCATATCTCCTTTCGCAAAGACTTGCGACCACGGCTGCAGCATCAGTCTGGCCGAGCGATCTGATGGATGCCAGGCGCAGAGAGCAGAGCCGAGCTTTCGCCTGATTATTGGATATATTAAGGTGTCCATTCGATTTTCTAAAGTATTAAATATTGGTTACAGTTCTACAGTCCTATCGAAATGTAAATTATTAATGCATGAAGCTATAAAAAAAAATTTACTTACTCATTAATGGCAACCAAGGATGAATCCACGTGTGGATAGGTATGGTATCTGTTAAAGGATTCCAGTCCTCTACTTCTAAAGTTAATTTCGGAAGGATTATCATGTCCAAAAGGTTGTCTAGAATCCAAGAAGGAAGTAGAGGCAACCATAGTTCCAACAAATCAACGAGATTCTCTGGCTGTCTGCATACCCAATTTCTGAAAAACATTATTTACGCATCAATTACAGGTGATCATACGAATAAGTGATACGCGAAACACAAGTAACGATAAACAATGAGCAAGATGCGGTAACACTTACTGCACTGCAGCACGAACTGATGGCATCCATGCATTCCAGACGAGCTGATCATATGGACTCATAGCTTTTGTATGATGATGCAGTATACCGAATTCTAAAATGTCTTTCCACTCTTTGAATAACGATAATGGTAGTTTTGGATTAGTTAAGGGAGCCCAGCTAGCGAGGTGCTCTTTTATTTTTGGAATGATAAGACTGCTAGCTAATTCACCTAAATCGTACATTTTGTATTCATCGAAATGCCTGTCTTGTAAGATTTTAAAAGCCTCGGCTGTCTCTCTTAAACTCATTTCGTCGTTTCTGTCTAATAATTTGTTAACCATGGCTAAAACATTTTCTAACGTTCCAATCAACTGAGCATGCTGGTCCACGACTTTGGCTAAAGTTTTCTTTTCAGCCTCGAGGGTAATCACCCTGTCCCCAAAGTACTTAATCTTTTTGTCATTTTGAATAATGTCCTGTTCACACATCTCTACTATAGTGTCTAAATTATGTTGCAATTCTGGTAAAGCAAAGTTGACTTTCGTCGTTTGTTTATCCGCAGTTGCAGAAAAATTACTGTCAGGTGGCACCTGTCGCTTCCCTAATGCGTGATAACTACTGAATACGCGCTGCTCGGGCGTCGTCATATCAGTCACCTTACATTTTACAATATCGGTGTTTATTAATGGAATATGCTTGTTTCGTCTGAACTTGCCATCCTCCAAAACTTCATCAACACTCGGATAAACATAGCCAGACTTTTTCTTATCGTTTTTGTCAACTTTTCTCCATTGTGAGACCCTAGGCTGTTTACCCTTCTTGGATTCATTGTCTTCAATCTTCAACTTTGTTTCTGCAAGCTTAGGTTTGCTTTCGGGACCATAAGCGCCAATGGCACCTCTACCCTTTCGCAAACGCGCTTCCACTGGTACACTTATACCTTGTAATTGTTTTCCTAAACCTTTGCCAGGTTCAAACCCCATTTGCATGAGTATTTTTGCACCTATTCCTTTAGTGTGAGCCTCCCAAGTGCCGATTCCTGTTTTCATTATTTCCGGATTCACAGTGCTCGGTTTTTTCCTCAAGCCAGCAATGTCATTGCTCAGAAAACTGAAAGCGCTTTTAGAGGTGGCACGACTCCTTGGTGCTTCTTCTTTTTCTGACTCACTAGAAAATTATATAAATACATCAACCAAATGTTTATTTTATACTCGAAAAACTTGAAATGACCCTATAAATTAAAGGAAAACAAAAGCATTATTCAAGTAAGTACCTAGAACTATTTCTTATTCTCATGTGAGCGTTATCATCATCATCATCATCCTCATCCTCTTCCTCCTCCTCATCTTCTTTTTTTTCTTTTTTCTTTCCAGCTTGTTGGATACCTCCGGCTACAAAGTTAACAGGTGCAGAGTAGTTTTTTGGCGCTCTACTAAAAGACGGCCTTGCATCTTCTTCGTCACTATCCTGGGCCCATATACCTATGGGTGAGAAAAGGTGAAAATAAGGTAAGAACAAACCAGCCAGTTCAATTTATGTTGCAACTCATTTATAAGCACAAACTTACCCAGCATCTCTTGTTCTTTCGTTCGTTTCCGTCGAGGACGAGTAAGGTTGAATTCATTTTCTAAATCGTACTTAGAGATTTCAAATTTTTCCATCTCTTCATCAGCCATGTTTGTAGATATTTATTTATGAATTCAATATAACCAACGAATATAGACGTCTATATTCGTTGATATAACCTATCGACCCAAAAGTAGTATTCATCCCTGGCGGAAAATTCAAAAATGCAAAATCTGAAAATTAATAAATTATTATTTTTAAAGCTACTGGCAAGTGTAAATACGATGTTAAAAGTAATTAAACATTGATCATTGCATTATTAGGAACAATAAAGTTGTTATATGCAGGTAAATATCATTATGCGTACCCTTTCAATGTGTGATTATACGGAAAAATGCTAATAATGCTTGGTATCGCCTGTTTATGTAAGATTAAGTATTATTTAATTGATAAACGATAATTTTGGAGAATTGCAATATTGATTTCTCCAAATAAAAATTTTCCTAAATTGCTTTTTTTATATGGTAAGGCAGTTACCCTGCATGACCGTACGAGTACAGATTACCGTATGGGCGTAACTACATGGTGATCGATAACGTTGCACTCTTTATTGCACGTAGATCTCGATCATCTGTAACAGATAAACGCTATTCAATCTTTGAACACTTCTAAAAAAAGATATCAGGTAAGAGTAAAGTATATTGTCACCAGAACTGAAAAATCAATTGATTATGTCATGTTCAACAACAACAACAATGAATGTACACTTTTAATGAACTATATAAGGTTAATAATAAGTAAACCACAATGCATAAATATTACAATTACCTATTGTACCATTTTTCATATTTCTCTAAGTGTTAGAAAAAAAACAGATTACTCCTCTGTAATGCATGTTTTCGCATAATTTTGCAATATCAGACTCGGATTGACTTCCAAAATCCTAAGTAAACATACCTATACAGCCGCGATTATGTACCACACCCTGCTCGTGTAACAAAATTTTTAGACTCATATTCTGAAGCTACAGTTTTTACTGGAGTTGATATTTAACCGTATGAAAATAATTATGATTATAATCGGAAATGCAATCAGAAAAAATAAAAAATCAAGGAATATTTATTAAATCAGCTGATATATTATAAGGTAAGTTTTAGTAGTCGATAATCGACTACTAAAACTACGGTATTGACGTTGCAATCGCGCAAACGATATCACAATATGTAAAATGGTGAGTTCGAAATAATAAAAAAATTCATCAGAAGAAGCTGTCGTTCCCACTAAACACTACTTTAGGGTTCCGGCAAGTTAGGTTATATTTGTTTTTAAACGAGAAAGGGACAGTCTCCGGTTATCAATTCCCTTGCAGAATTGTACCAGAAAACGTCGTTCAGTCTCTTTAGAAATTATCATTTCCCATGATTATTATGTCACCTTATCACTACGCAAGTAATAAACTTTATTCTTGAATGACAAAATGTTGCTTTATATATTACAAATAAAACACTTAATTATATCTCTCTTGCACACACTCGCCGTCTGCTTTCTTAGGGGTGGGGAGAGAAGCTAATGGCGGGAACGCTCTTTTTTTTTTTAAACTTCCAAGTTAAGTATCTGTTTTGTAATTCATATTTTAAAATTAGATCCGTCCACAAACTCATTGTTCATAACAATATCATTGAAAAAAATGGTTTATATATACTAGTATCGATCGAAACTTCATCGCTCATGTATTTTTCGATAAAATTTAACATAACAACAAAACCATAAAAAAATTATCATATAGCATATCGCACGTAAATAAACTAAAATAGACGAGCTTAAAATAAATAAACAAAACAAAAACAAAAAAAAAAAAAAAAAAAAAAAAAGAAGAAGAAGAATCGAGCTGCTAAAAGTCAAGCGAGCAAATAAGAGCCACGCCCCTCGTTATCCAATGAGCCTGCGGTTCCCTGCTCGGTATTTCCATCGGTAAGATGAAATTGGTGCTGTGGCCAGTCGTGCTGAGGGTACCAGCTCGCTTGACCGTTTTGTAAACGGGACACTCGTAAATCCCGCTCGCGGCGACTTTGTGATCGATTTCCGGTAAAAACAGTACCGGCGCCATGTCTGGGGGAAAAAAAAAAATACATCCTATAGCGTGTGAAAGGACTATGTGTAATTAGTACTCAATACACATCGTACCGGTAAATAGTTCTCTTGGCAAGGATTCCGCGAGGTAGCTGCCGTCCCAACGACAACCCTCGAGAAACAAGCCGTACACCACGCACCCGTTCTCAGGTGCTCTGTCAGGCTTCGCCGGCAGTACCTTCATTGTCACACGAATGAGTCAAAAACTGGATATACAAACTCAATGTGACACATTGAAGTTTAGCAATTAACATCGCGTACTCACTTGGAAGGCAAAATCAATGGTATCAATGGCCAGGCCGTACTTTCGAGCGTAGTTCTGCAGGGTACCCGTGAGCAGGGCCTGGGGAAAGTAAAACCCCGAGATCCAAAAGGCCGCGGGTATGCCAGCCTCCTGCCAACGCCTTATGAACTCGGTCCTCCTCTTGAGATCCTCGACCCATGCACCTGCCAAAGTTTCCTCGTAACGACGACTCTTCACTGGTCACACTGCACTTGCAAGTCATATATTACCGAGCGGTTTGAGCGAGGCGAAGGCCCGACGCTGCCAGTTCTCGGGGACCTTGTTGCTGTTCAGGGCCAGGGCCATGGTCTCCAGCGTCTCCGACATCACCACGACGCCTTTGATGGCCAGCAGGAGGTCCTTCAGACTGCTCGACATGATTTTCAGTAGGGCGTTGTAGCGCGTCGCCTCTTGCGCGAGCACCATGTTCAACGACTCTTCGTACATAACTGGGTACCTGCGGTACACATTATGTGATTGCCCAAGATTTTGTTGATACGTTACAAACAGATATTAATTACCAAAATACGCACTTTCGTTGAATATCGGGGAGGTGGAAGAGCTCGGGTAGCCCGTCAAGGATCCGGCGTGCCAACCTGGTGAGGCCCTCGTCCGCGCCTTCGGTGGCGCCGGCGACCGCGATGTCCCGCGGCTGGAGTGTCTCGAGGCTCGTCAGACAGGCGTACGTCTCGGCCTGGGCGTAGCTTATGTTGGCGTTGGCGTGCAACCCGAACAGCCCGGGATCGTCGTTTATGGGGAACTGCTTGATCAGGGCCACGTACTCAGCCAGGCTCGTTTCCCCCGGAGGCTGTGCCGAGGCGTGAAATTATATGCGTAACGTGTATATCGTTATAATATGTCATCGTTTCGTTGATTATCGTTGTACTTGAAAGTAGAGACCCTCGGGGTCGAACTGGTGGCCGGGCACGAGGACTCGATCGTTGTAGAACATGGACAGGATCGTCAGCACGCACCTTCGGTCCCAATCGTCGGTTATTCGGCCCCCGTAGTTTATGTGACCGGCAGTGTACGTCAGGACCTGCACCCATTACATAATTATACATATACATATACGTACGTGTATTATGTTATTGTTTCTACGTGTGATTCCCATAATGTATGAGTTACCTTGAAGGGCACTATCACGTACTCCAAGAGGAACATGTGCAGCTGCGACATGCAAATGACAAAGTCGCCGTCCGTGAATTCGTACGGGATGTTGAAGCCCAAGGGCCCGTACTTGCGCCGCTCGAGGAGGACCGCGTGGAACAGGCTCAGGGAGTACACGAGCGACTTGAAGTTCGCGACTTTCGGGTGCTCCGACTCGAAAAACTCCTGCATCTCGACCACTTTGGTCGAGTACGTTCTCATCATGTTTGCCTATGTACAAAGAGGACAGCTGTTATATACCCTCGAAAATCGGTAAGGTCAATTGTGTATATTGTATAATCGATCGTCAACTGACTCACCTTGACACCTCGAGGTGGCTCCATGGTTAATTTGCACCCGTTTTGCAGTATACTCACGGGGAAGGCCGTACTGGGCATCGACGTCAGCCAAAGACGAAAATCCCGGTGTATGTCATTCGGCGGCAATTTTTCCACCAGAATCTCCAAGGTGGGCATCCAACTGGGCGCCAAGTGGCAGTTCTGCGTGGCGCGCAGTTATATAACGTGCAGTTTTGTATATACAAGAAAATTGTAAGGTGGAGGCGTACTTGGAAAAAGATCCAGTTGCCGACGTCGATCGACTGCTTGAGCATGAGCTCGGCCCTCGGGCCCTGGCCCTGGCCCAGGGATATCGAGTACAGTTTTCGGGCCATCTTGTGCTTCTCGGCGAACTTGTAGAGCTCGGAGGCGGGATCGGTGCCGCTCGACAGCACGAAGATGAAGGGCGTCGTGGGACTCGTCTCCTTGAACATCGCGTCCAAGCCCGAGGCTTGGGGCTCGACGAAGGGAGCACCCAAGTGCACGGACACGTAGATCTGCACGGCGTTGACGACTTTGTCGGGTCGCAGGCACTTGAGGACTATGAGCTTCTCCAGATCGTCCAATTTGCCGTTCCACGGCTCGGGCAGGTTTGTCCTGAAATTGTTTTCTTTTCGTGATTTACCGATCGTTTTGTTGTTAGGGGCGGGTATAACTTGCTTCTCGGGCTGCTGAGCCTCGAACACGAGCTGGAACTTTCCCACGAGATTCTTGAAGGAGGGAACGAAGCTCTGAAACTTTGGCAACACCTGCAGGGACAGTATCTCGGCCCAGCAGCGCTCCGGCAACCACTCAGGGGCCGGATTGGGCTCTTTCTGCACCATAGCGGCCAAGGATTACAAACTAATGATCAATGCTGGTACACGTATAGCAAATGATTATATCGCGCGCGTATAAAATACCCGGGGGGAAATCGCGCCCGACAGCAAAAACTTCCACTCGTTGCGATCGATCAGGTCGCCCATCATCTGTATGCGGACGCAAAGCAAAAACGCAAAGTGCAGCTTGTGCCTCTCGAACAAGCTCTGGCAGACGTTACAGTACAGGGCAAAAGTGAAAAAGTCATTGACGCCCTGAACGCGCTTGCCGACGTCGTCTGCGAACGAAAAAGGAAAATATCACAGTATACTATATGTGCGTGTCTTTCGTTACACGTCGTAACATATAAAAATGTACCGTCTTTCTCGGTGTTGAGCATGCTGTTGGTGAATATGCGAATGAACCACTCGAGGGAGTACTGGTACATGGTGTCGATGAGCTGCAGGTCGAGCAGACAGAAAAATAGGACCTGAGCGCGCTCGGCGACCGGCACATAAAGCGACCTGGCCGCGTCGATGCTCTCCTGGGCCGTCTCTGCCGACACGACTTTCAGCTATGGAAGAGCCCAAAAATTAGTATCGGTTGCGCCTGTACAGGGGTATAAGAGCCCACCTTGATCTCCTCGCTCTTGATCTTGGAGGCCTCGAGGGTGTCTATGAGGTCGATGTCGTCAACTGCCGAGCCCTCCGAGAGGGACAACCTGAGGAGTATGCGGTCCTCGATCTGCTGGAGCTCCTGCTTCATTTGCGCGCTGGCGACGAGTAGCGAGCTCCGAGTCTCTTCGAGGTCCGGCCTCTCGTGCATTATCACCAGCGACAGCATCTGGTCCGACAGACCGCTGCGACCCACATTGAAAAGTGAGGCATAATGCGTGTAACGTGTGGATGGATCGTCAAATGGCAGTGGACATATACCTCGCAGTGAGGCTGAAGTTGACTATGAGCACCTTGACCGCCACCTCGGGAGCGTAGTGGGGGTTCGGCAGCTTCGTGACAAGGTAGAGCCGAAAGTCCTCGTTGTAGGGCACGACGTTGTCGCCGATTTTGACGCTCAGTTGGCCGGCCTGCCGGAACAGGGAGCGCATGAGGACCGTGTCGAGGGCGGGCTCGAGCTCCAGGCCGACGTTCTCGATCAGGCAGGTGCGCCCGAACCTCACGCAGCTCTCGACCACGCGCAGCAGGTCTCTGTCCGACATCCGCACCGTCGACAAGCCCCCCGCTGATCTGCCGCCCTTTTATGTACACAAATTATGTTTATCCACGTTTCAAACTTGCGATCGATTTTTCACGCAACAACTTTTTATCATCCCAAGTATTTCGCCTCATTTACGACAGTAACGTAATGGGAGTAAAAATGGGTATTTGCACAATATACCAAGTTGCGGAGCCAACGGTGGGCCTGGCCCTGCGGATCTACGAGGAGCGGCCAGCGCCTCGAGTTGGCGACCAACACCGCGTTCTCGACCGAGAGCGCGTCCCGGGGCAGGCCGTCCAAGTGCCACATGCGAATCTCCACGGGATCACCCAGCAGCGTCACGGGCTCACGGCCAGGCGTGTGCGGGACACCGGCTAGCAACATCTGCTGCCACGAGGTGAGCAGTCTCTTCCGGTACGAGTCGACGAAAGGCGTCAGGTAGGCTATCGCCCCTTCGAGTTGAAACGTGTCGAGTTAACGTCCCATCGGACCAGAAAGTTCCTCGATCGAGGGCGTACCAGCGCAGAGCAAAACGTCCCCGACGAGCTTGCCCAGGGTCACCTTGTCCTTGGCCACCGAGGCAAGCCAGCGCTTGCTCTCGTCGGCCAAACCCGAGACGAGTCTCACCGCCCGGCTCATGCGATCCTGGCAGAGCTGCTTCTGGGCCTCGAGCTCCCTCTTGCGCTCCTCCTCGCGCTGGAACTTCTGCTGCAGCTTGTCGAGGCCTGCCTGGACGGCCTCGAGCTTGGCCATGGCCTCGGCGAGAGCCGCCTCGGTCGACACCAGCACCGACTGGGCCTGCTCGAGCGCCGCCATCTTTGGCTTGACCCTCTCGTTCACGAAGTAGTAGTTGTACATGGCGTGGAGCCACATGCACAGCGAGTGACACGCCTTCGACACCTTCATTATCTGCAAAAAGACACGACAACACCACCGATGAACATGTACAACTTTTGTCGATCCTTGTACCTTTTTCGGGTGAAAGCCCGGGTTTGCCACGTAAGGCTTGAGCTTGAGGATTATGTCCTCGGTGATGGCTTCTTTGTCGTAATTGGCGAGGGACGTCAGGAACTGACCGGCGTCGGCGAGCATCAGACTCCCGGGGGTCCAGTAGTCGTTGAGCTTCTCGCCTGGCCTCTCTCCGGCGATCTTTGTTCATTATTATTTGTAAAAAAAAAAAAAAAAACAGGAACTAGCGTCATCATTTTCTTCGGTATATAAAACGGTCACCTTGAGGGGCTTGACTCCCTTGACGATGCACATGGCCTCGATGACGAGCACGACTCCAGGGGGCGGTCGCTTCATCGCCTTCACTTCCGTTATGTCGCCCTTGTTGAGGGCCTTTAGACTGTTCTCCGCTTCCAGCAACATCGGCCGCACCGTGTCTGTGATCGTCATCGGTTTCAGATTACAGTGGAAGGCATATGTCTGTTATCTAGAAAAAAATCGTTACTGAGATCGGCCTCGGCGTCGTCTCTGATTATCTGGTTGGCTTTTTTCAGCTTCAGAGCCTCCTTTTCCTGCTCCGCGGCCTGAGCTCGCGCCTCCTCGGCGATTGTCTACAGCGAATCGATCATCAATGTAAAGTTTGACAGTTGTGCCAAAATACGCGCGAGCATTTTATATACGTACGGTGTCTCGGCCGATTTCCTCGATCATCTTGGCGGACATTTTGGCCGCTCTCACGAGTTCCGGCTGCATTTTCTCCAGTGTTATTTGCATCTCCTTCACTTCGATCTCCGTCGACGCGAGTTTTTCCAATCCTTGCATCACGAGTGGAATTTATCGGTGTACGTGATAATTGGAGTGTAAATAAAAAGCATTATTATATTATATGCCCACCCACGGACAGGCGATTGATCCCGGCGTGGAGTTCTCTCTTTTTCTTGTCCAACAGGTCGCCGTAGCTCGACAAAAGTTCCAGGTAAGACGTGGGCGTCACGTAGTTGTGACGATTGAGTTCCTGCAAAATTCGGTTTTCTTTTCCGTACTTGGACTACTGGTTATTTACTCACTTGTAAAAAGTCTTCGCTAGCTCGGATGACACTGGAATGCATAAACTGACAGGTGTCGACGATCGACTTGAGCACGTTTCCCGTGATAGCCTCGTCCCCGGTGTTGCTCAGGAAATGAAAGGCAACGCTCTTCGAAAAAAAAAAAACCGTTACAAGAGTCCCTCGATAGAAAAATTAAGGGGGGAAAAAAGAAAAAAATTGTACCCGGAGAGCACTGTCTGGCCAAGGGTCGAACCAGTCTATGGTGCACATGTTGACCAGAGCCGGAAACTGACGGATTCGCGAACGAAACAGCTCTCCGATCGGGCTATTGATTTTTGTTTGTTAGTAGAAANAAAAAAAAAAAAAATGATAAAGTAAAAGGAAAATTCACCACATGGTGATGACCGCGTGCAAATTGTTCCGAACAATTTTCCGATAAGCAGCCAGTAAGTTGCTCCTATTGACTGGCAGTCCCGACTCCTGGACAATGTTTCGCGTCGCCTGGAAAATCTGATTGATCTCGTCCGATTGATAGATGTTGGGCACGTCCCCGCTGCTCAGTATGTTGTTTATGTCCTCCAAGAACGCGTCGTACTTAATCTGAAGGGCGTCAATTGTAACTTTAAAATTGTATCATTGAATGACAAAGTTGTTTTTTTTTTTTTTTGTAATTTTTCACCTGCACGTCGGAGAACAGAAACACCGAGGATCTGTCATGGACTCCCGTCTTGAGCAACAGGCTTTTCACGTCGTCCCTCCAATCGCGCATCGAATAAGCTTTCGTCAATTCTATTTGGAAGCAGCTGTACTCGGCGATGTGGGACGACAGTTTCGTCAAGCTCTGACGGCCTGTTGGGTTGTGAATTTTTTTTTTTTTTCCAACATACTGTTAACGATTTTTCAACCAACCTGATCCACCCATGCCGAGGAGAAGAGCATTTCCCGGTGATTGGTTCAAAATTCTCGTTATCCGACACACGTGGCTCATGGCGTCTTCGAACAGGACGAGGTTTATCGGCACCGTCGTCGAGCTGTTGTAATCCTCCAACAGTTCCAACATCGTGTTCTCCATCTTGTGTTCACAAAAATAATAAATACATGCAAGCATCATTAATGAAAACGTCCAAGACGGGATTATTTACGTTTTTAGCGTTGCGTATGCGCTCGTATTGATTGTCGGGGTTGCAAAAGTTTCCGTAAAACAGCGCATCATCGAGCAACGACTGGCGAACGTCGTAGTCGAGCACTTCCATCATGGTCTTGCGCACCAATCGATCGAACCATTGCCTGTCGGCTACGTTGACCAGCCGATCCCTGAAGACTCGACAATTCTCGTGGTACCACAGTAAAAGTAGGTCATCCAGCACCTGATGAACGGAAATTTTTCTTTTTTTTTTTTTAATTTTGTTTTTACCAACTCGGTTCGATGTTAAGAGAATAACTCACGTGAATCTGACTGGGCTCGGCCATGAGCATTCCTTGGAAGACTTTACCGAGATCCCGGACGTTGAAAGTGTAGTGGCACTTGTCCGGCGTGGGTAGGAGCTCCTTGCACAGGGTGGAAAAGATGCGCAAACTCGTTGTCATGATGGGTTTGACGAACTCACCCAGCGAAGCTCCCCTCGCCAACCAGGACGACAGTATCGTCCCAAAAATCGTGCTCTAGAAAATGCTCGAGCGAATTACAATTATTATCCTTTTTTTTTTTTTACAAAATAACATCACCACGATACCTGGTGGTTGGTAAAGGAAGGAAAAAAGGAGTCGAGCGGAAAAATGTCATCGGAACAATGTTTTCCAAGATTAAGATTTTCACTCGAGCGGTTTTATACGTCGGCCGTTCTCGCGTCTGGTTACCCAGTAATCAAACGGTCGATGATGTCAGTTCGCAGAGTTAGGAAAAATTACGATATCATAGCCACCAGAGGTGGTAATTTTTGCTTGGCTGGAGGGAGGGCGCGTTGGTTGGGCGGGCGAGGAAAGAAAACGTGGGCAAACACAAGTTAATCGCGCGAGCGCTGCTACGTACACGACCTCCTCCTCCCCCCCCCCCCTGCTCCGTGGGCATTCAAATCTGGCCGGGCTTCGTTATTTACTTTTCCGCTTCCCTTTTCGCGTTTTTTATCCTCCCCCCCCCCCAGTAAATCTACATTCCACCAGAAGAGACAAACAACTTCAAGGTGTATACGACTGAAACAGCCACAGAGAGGAAGCAACATAAAAACAAGATTATAGCAGTCTTATGGGTATATATATATACCAAAGCAAAATGACGGCAGAGACGGGCCCACTACATTACTTGTCCAACCCTCGTTCAGGTACAAAATAACGAGTTGAAGTTTTTCGGTGAATGTTTTCGACCTGTCGATACTCGGCGATGGCCGTTGGTCCAGTTTTGTGTTTGGCTCGGAGGATATTGTCCTTCGGACGAAACAAAGGATGAAGATTAGAGCTGCGGTGTCGAGAACAACGAAACTTATTGGTTTTCTTCTTACCGTACTTTTGCGTACGACTACCATCTGGTTGGCAAATTCACCTTCTCACTCGTGCTCCAGTCGAAGCTTAATACTTTGAGCGCTTTCGAGTAACTTTGCTCCAAGCTGATTTACAGCACAACGATTCTGTCGATGCGCCAACTTCTCTTTTTTCCAGAACACATCAAACCGGACTTCCCCAGCCGAGCCGTATATAGACAATGACCGTGCGATTCCGAGTCCTGTTGGAGCAGGTATATGATTTATTTTCGGGAAATTTCACAACGCTCGTCCTTCCCACCCCAATCCCGAAAGAGGCAAGCACTTGGGCCTCCTCTATTGTGCGCTACTGTGTTGTACCTGTGTGCATGATCGCTTTGCCCCCACAAAGGCGCTGGTCCCCGTAACACCAAGATCAGACTTTGGCGTGGAGGAACTTTGAGGGGAGGGGGAGAGCGGCAAATCCCACCTTAAACTCCCACGAATGACTCTTCTAAACTATCCCCTCGTGATCGATGCGCGAAACTCGAGTGGATCAATATGTCCGTTCGGAACTCTCTTCCGGACTTTTGGGAAACTCGCGTGATTTATCACGGATTACTTTCTCTGCAAGTACTAAGCTAAAATACGCTATTTCATGTTTCTATTTCAACGAAATGAAGTAGTAGTACGTATTATTTAAAAAAAAAAGGGGTCAAAGCTAGTTTTTCCGCTTGGACGCCCGAGTAGAGGAAGCACTCGTCTCTCCACAGCAGCCTCCCTCCCGTTGGCCCAATTCCGATCTAGGACACGTACATGGGCTTCTTATACACTCTTCGGCCGCGTGGGGCTGAACTATACACGCGCCAGAGTTGGCTTCCAGGTCACTGGGTCAACCCTTTCATCGATCTCGGCCCCTGCTCGAAAATTACTCCCCGGATTTACTCTGCACCGCGCACACACACATACACTGGAGCCCTCGACCCCCGGGTGACCCCGTTCGCGTGGCTCGGGAACTGATTAGTGGGCCATATATTGCACCACAGCTCCTCTTGTGTTGCTCAAAAATCGCATTGCGCGCAAAAGTACTTGAACCCACGATAAGGGGGGCGGGGGGTCGAGGGTCTCTTTATTCCGCGCAGCGCGAGATTTGCCCGCTAATTGCCCCACGTACGAGCGAGGGTGTTTTTTTTGCCCTCGTTTGACTCCCTCTTTTTTTTTTTTTTTTTCCCCC